TAACCGATAGTTTTAAAATTGATACTGAACAAAAACTAAAATAGTGCTTTATTAACAAAACCAGTACTGAACCATACTAGTAGTAGTAGTAAAAATAATAGTAATAGTAAATGTTGAAATTAACACTCTAACAAGGAACAATATTTACACAGCTTTGATTAATCTTAATGCTACAAATGGACTATTATTTTAAAGTGTTACCATTTAATTTCAACTGTCATGCTTAAAGATGCACATCTTAAATATATACACTAAGGCTATAGCATTAAAATTACATATGGATATTGTATGTATACTCTCACACTTTAACTGCTTCTATTCTTGAACACTTTATTATCTCATCAAAATAAAAGAGTCTAGGAGAACTCACCGGTATCACACACACTCCGGACGTGTCGCGTTCAACTCGAGCAGCGGTCTAAAACTGTTTATTTAATCACCAAACAGACAAGTTTACTTCAAGAATAAACAATTTGGCATAGATGAGTTTGAAGTTTGGTGTTTAAAAAACGGAGCAAACGAAAAGAGAAAGCGCGACCTATATTATAGCTCCATAAATGAAGCACACAGACTTTATAGAGCCACAGAAAGACAAACGTTTTGCTGAAAATGCACAATACACAATTCATTATGTACATTAACAACGATTCGGGACCAATATAATGTAATTTAAAAGGAAAACTATGTGAATGGCGCTGCAGGATTTTCTGTTGGCTGCATTTAAATCCACGTCAGAAGTTTCCCGCTCTATTGAAGTACTCCTCGCTGCAGACTGTAGCGCGGTGACGTCACGTATGTACGTCACGTATGTGTTTACCGCGCATGCGCAAAGTGATGTAAGGTATGTCTATAACACGCATGCGCGCCGTACGTACTGGCGTTACTGCGCATGTACAGGTTCATTCACTTCCGGATGTATGGTGGATTCGATGGCAGTAAGTCAAAGAACATTAACTTACCTATGTTTTCTTAAAAACAATGTGTGTTTGTGTTAACGCCTTTTAATTGAAAGCATGCTTTGGTCATAATCATAGATTGCAAATGTGTGCGATTTCAGACATTTATGACGTGTTAGTATTTGAAGTGACAGGGATTCTGCTGCTGGTCTTTAAAGGGTCTTTACAAGTCTTATTTCGCCTAAAATGAGCCTTTAGAGATGTCTTAAAATAGAGCAGAAAGACTTATATTAATAAAGTAGGCTAATGACACTGATTGTTGCATGCGTTGCAAAAAAATTCTCATATTTGTCATCTTTTTCATTAACTAACATTATCAAATATGAATAGATACTGTAACAAATGTATTGCTCATTGTTAGTTCGTGTTAATTAATATATTAACCGTTGACACCTTATTGTAAAGTGTTACCTCTTAAATTGACCTTCATGTGACTGGCAGAAATCCTTTAAATGTGAGATATAGAAACCTTTACTTGACTGTAAATGTGCTTTTGTTTAGATGCATGCTACTGTCCTCAGAAAAGGAGAACACATAAAAATCTCATGCTGTGATAAATATCACTGCCCATTTTGTGAAACCTGGGTCTACAAACCAGTAGACTTGTACAGTGTCAAGAAACATGTGGAGGATCATCTGAAAACAGCTGTTCATGAAGGTGTGTAGTGGTTGAACATCCATAAACATTATTTTGTGAGTGTATTTGCATTTTACACTGATTTTTTATTTTTACATTTCTTCAGTCCTTAGCCTCCCGAGTGCTGTCGGTGAGTGACTGATTCACGTTTATGCTACCTCTATTCGTGTGTTGCTGCCTCGATTATCATGTTATGTGTTATGCTGTTTAACACCGCTATCTCTGTGCAGCCCCTGACAGTAATGTTGTTGCTTCTGCCCTGTTCTCAGCGCAGCCGACGTTATTAATGACCAGATATGCAAATTTCGTATGCCTGGGCATTAGACGCTCATTGGCTTATCTCCACCTATCAGCTGCGAGCCCGCCTAACAAGCGTCGCTATTGGTTGGGAATTGTGTGTGTTCTATCTTCGCTGAGTGTGTAACTTGTACAGGCTGCTCGTAGCCTCTCTCACGGCGGGATTGAATATCGTTCCCATAACGGAGAAATATCTCCGTGATGTCTCGTGAAAGCTCGAGAGGGAACGCTCCGGTTACTATCGTAACCTCGGTTCCCTGAGAGCGGGAACGAGATATCACGGTGGTCGCCGTGTTCGTTACTCGATCAGCTAGAGCTGCGTTCAGTATCAGATTCTGACGTAATTGTCGCGTGCACCGCATTTTATACTGCCGCTTGAGCTCGTCAGTATTTGCATGCGGTTTGCATACTTCGCGTCAATTGGCCAGTCATTTGGACTGGCGGGAGCCAATAGGACTTCAGGAAAGGTTGGAAGGGAAGGAGTTCCCATAACGGAGAAATATCTCTGTGATGTCTTGTTCCCGCTCTCAGGGAACCGAGGTTACGATAGTAACTGGAGCGTTTTCTTAAAAACAATGTGTGTTTGTGTTAACGGCTTTTAATTGCAAGCATGCTTTGGTCATAATCATAGATTGCAAATGTGTGCGATTTCAGACATTTATGACATGTTTTATGATATGTGTTAGTATTCGAAGTGACAGGGATTCTGCTGCTGGTCTTTAAAGGGTCTTTACAAGTCTTATTTCGCCTAAAATGAGCCTTTAGAGATGTCTTAAAATAGAGCAGAAAGACTTATATTAATAAAGTAGGCTAATGACACTGATTGTTGCATGCGTTGCAAAAAATGTTTCATATTTGTCATCTTTTTCATTAACTAACATTATCAAATATTAATAGATACTGTAACAAATGTATTGCTCATTGTTAGTTCATGTTAATTAATACATTAACTAATATTAACCGTTGAAACCTTATTGTAAAGTGTTACCTCTTAAATTGACCTTCATGTGACTGGCAGAAATCCTTTAAATGTGAGATATAGAAACCTTTACTTGACTGTAAATGTGCTTTTGTTTAGATGCATGCTACTGTCCTCAGAAAAGGAGAACACATAAAAATCTCATGCTGTGATAAATATCACTGCCCATTTTGTGAAACCTGGGTCTACAAACCAGTGGACTTGTACAGTGTCAAGAAACATGTGGAGGATCATCTGAAAACAGCTGTTCATGAAGAAGGTGTGTAGTGGTTGAACATCCATAAACATTATTTTGTGAGTATTTGCGTTTTACACTGATTTTTTATTTTTTTTATTTTTACATTTCAGATTTTATTATCATCAGGTGCAATTTAAAATGCAAAGATGTTTCGCCACTGGAGATCCTCGGGCAGATCCTGTTGAGTGGTCTCAGATGACGGAGACATGGCCTTTATGAGACTTTTTCTCACGTGCAAGCTTTTTAGGGACATTGTCAGTGAGACAAAATTCAAAGAAGAGGCCCACTTCATGTGGCTAGACAGTAAGTTCTTTAACTCTAACAGGTAGTGAGTACTGTAAAAAGTATTTGAGTGTCTGTCTGTTTCCTCTCATCTA